CAGCATGTTTACAATTCCTTTCTTTCCTTCCCTGATCTCGGGGAAGGAAAGAAAGGGATTAAAATATGCCCCCTCCCGCCACTGCTTCCTTGGGCGCCTCGTCTGCAATAGCAGAGAGGCTCAGGGAAGCAATGGGGCACGCAGGAATAGCTGGCTGAGCAGCGCAACTGAGTAGAGGCAAGGCCAGGGTCGGGCCCGGCACCCACCCCCAGCAGCCCAAAACCTTACGGTCCCCGGTACTTACCATCACACTAGGCTGGGGGGGGGGCTTCAGGAACTGCTGCAGTGAGGCCAGGCAGTGAGGCTCAGAGACCGCTGGCCACGCCACAAGGACAAAAACTAAAGCACCAGATGTCCACGCCCACCATGAGACCTCGCACTGGCGCACACTAGAGGGAAGTGGAAACTGACGCTCTAGCCCTTGTCCCTCTGGTTTTCAGAGCCATAGAGACTTAATGGACTTAAATCCTAGAGCGTCACTTTCTGGCCGCCATTTTTTCCCCCAGGGCCCAATTTTTAAAAAGCAGGGAAGGGGTATTTAAAGTGGGGTTTCCCCCGCCCTCAAAGGGGGCTTGGCAAGCCTACTCCCACCTTTTTAACCCAACCCCCTGCTATTTAGTTATTCACACTGCAGGAGAAATCCTCCCATCGCCAGTTCTGCTTTTGTTTCCTGCCCTCTTCCCACACTGATCATCTTTCTCTGTCTCTGTCTCTCTGGCAGTCTATCTTTCACTTTCCATGCAGTGGGGCCTTGAGTAGATCCCTGCAGTGGCCATTTTGTAAGGTATGGGGGGGAGAGAGATTCAATCCTCCCTGAGTTTTTAAAAAACTTTTTGGATTTTTATGGAGACCCACAGAGTCCCCTGAGTTTGCAGAAAAACCTGTTAGGGGAGAGTGTGCTCTTTGTTTACAAAAATAAGTATTTGCACACAGAGGGGACTGTTGAGAATTAGATATATAGATTATGAAGAAGTTGGGTTAATATACTGTAATGACTCCCCAACCTTCAAAAAACTGATTTTCAGCAGGTCTTAATGACCAGGACTAAAATGAGTACATCATCAGTAGAATTCCATGAACAGTGCTTTTGCTATTACCTGATAAAGGCACACCAGAATAGGATTCTTCATAATGCTGAGAGTCTCAAGAAAAGATAGTATTGACTTCATTTCAGGAACTCAGTTTTATGAAAACATTTGTCATTACTTAATCTTTCTTGTATCTCTGCCATTCCTTTTTCTTTCTTTGGTGAGCTGGTTCACTTCATAGCCCTTACACTAGCGCTTCTGGAACACAAAGATCAGCCACAGCTACAGGCACTCCATTTCTCATTTGGGGTTTTTTATCATGGGGGGGGGGTTAGATTTCAGATTTTTCTGCAAACCCAGGTCATTTTTCAGGTCTGTCTTGCCTGTTCACAGCTGCAGTCACCAGTTTAAAGTATCCTCATATTTGGCTGACTTCGTTAGTAGAATAGGTGATGATGATGACAATGATGACTCACAGCCCTGAAACACCCAGGGCACCAGACCAGGGTCAGAGCCACCCTTCATCTCTTGGTCAGGTTGCCATATTTCCAGGTGGGGTTTCCGTCAAAAATGAATAGAAACATCAACAGGGTGTTTTTAAAAAAATCAAAATGAAAGAAATGTCTGGAACTCTTTTACCAAGTCCCACACCTACAAGTTATTTCAGTATCTCTTCAGTTGTGAGGGTGAAGAATTGCATTTTTTCTTTAGAGGTTTGAAATGTGCAAAACCTCCACTCAGAGTTTTAAAAGTTTCTTTTTTCTAGGCAGAGAACAGGCAGGAAGGGAAGAAGGCAGTTCAAATGCTTTCCAGTTTACCTGCATACAAATGCTGATAAATCTATCAGGAGAGATAAAGGGGTGGGTCAAGTTCTTCCCCCTTCTCCAAAGGGGTGGGTTAAGTTCTCTCCCCTTCTCCAAGCAGAGATTTTATTAACCTGGAGAGCAGTCCAAAATGCCAGGCATGTATATTTGAGAATTATATTACTTAAATGTATTTATAGGCATACGTACTTTCAGCAAACCAAGGTCGCGGACACACACGTGAGATAACGCATGGTGAAAAAGAGGCTATTTACCCCGGAGGAAATTGACCTGCAGTTGCACGATCACACAGTTCTTTGAAGCTGTGGGCATAGCCCGCCACTGCGTAATCAGACACAATCATTTGCTGTTCGTTTTCGATTTGCTTAAACGGAGGATCAATAAATCGCATCTCCACACTGAGGGCTTCCTATGGCAGTATGAGATGATGCGCATACTGAGAAGAGAAAAAAACAATGGCATGGAGTCAGGATGGCCTGATTAGACCATTCCAACGCCATGAGAGCACGCTGGAGAGATCACACAGGGTAAAGTCCATCTGTGGCCCGTAGCAACCCATTTGCTACTGGACTTCCCCCAGTGTCTTTTTACTCTGTTTCTTCGGTGGAGTGAAATGGGTTGCTGACAGGTGCCAGATGCTTGCCAGATGTTCCCTTGTGATCGTGCCCTTAAAATCCACCCAGCATTGATGCCTGTTGCGCGGCTAATTCTCTGTGTGATCAGAACCTAAATTCCTTTTTCAATTATATCTTTTGCTTCCTACTTTTCTCACATTATTTTGAAGCAGGAAAAACCAAAATAAATAATTTAATCGCCATATTCAGTTTCAACAAACATGATTTTTGTGAATATGTTCAGCTATTATACTTAAATGACTGGGAATTTTGTGCTTAGAATCAATACCTTGAGGTATCACCTGTATCTTGCTTTCCCTGGCATTAGTTTCAGGCATGAATTTCTCAAAAGACAGATGGAGTTTAAACACACCCAGAGATCACCTTCTCTCACCCACTTATTCTTGATTAGAACTTCAGATTCTGACACTGATAATGGGCTATGGGTGTGAGCTTTGGTGAACTTCGTTTGGAACTGGGGTTTGAATACCTGTTAAATGGGGACAGAAGCTTGAGCGATCAACAATTGGAAAGATTTTCTCAGAGACCTGATTCAAAAATTTCTTGCTGAGACATTGTTTTAACCATAAATAATCAAAGACTTTTCTACTTTAATTTTTCAACATTCCTAAAAATTGTCTTAATACATACTTAATACATACTTAATACATAATCATATACACTGTCTTTAAAAGAAGAAATAATTTCAGAGAAAATACAAAATAGAATATTTACATGTTTTAGAATATACAAAACAAGGTTCTCTATTTAAAAGATAACTCTGAATGAACACAGCCTGTAATTAGATGGAGCCTTAATAGCACCTATTTGTTCAGTTTGGAATGACTCGATCATTTTGTTTTTGTACAGCACTTGGCTGAAACGAAGATGCACCTTGAACTGTTGTATCATATTGTCATATCAGGAACAGCAAGTGCATGCCCTTCAACGACTGAACTGTTACATAAAGAAAGAAAAAGAGAAACTCCAGATCTAGAGTAGATGGAAGAAACTGGTACAGGTCAATTGCTTTCCTTGGAGGTCAGTTAAAAAAAATGAAAAACAATCTATTCCTTATCGCTACTTACACATTGCCACTTCACTCCATAGTACGTGCACCAAAGCATGCCTCTGAGTACATATCCCTTGCTCCATGGAGAGCTACATGTGCAACTAATTATGCAGCCAGGGCAACATGCATGGAGCTTTTTTTAACAGCTAAAATCCCATGTGAGTGGCTGTTCAGAGGAAGAGTCTTGCCACTACTTACTCCACTACTTACTCTCCCACATCCAAATGTGGCAAGGATTTTAGCTTTTAAAGAAGGATTTCTGGAATCCCCATGCATGCTGTTGGACTGGAGTGCCAATATTTTTGTATTTTAGATATGGTGAAACAGTATGAACAGCTGAAAAACTAGAATTCTAATAGTGAATCAAATATAACAGGAGGAAAATATTTCATTAATGCTTAGAAATTCAGTACACATCAACTATCACTATATATAGTGAGAAAGTAAGTGCTCCTATTACATGTATAACTGGGAGGGTAAGCAAATACAGATATGAGCATCTGCATAAGATCCCATATATAAGTCCTTGCTGCTAAGGAGTTCTTTATCTTTAACAGTGATTGTTATTACAGATATGCTGAAAGCTTTATTTTTGACTACAACACATTGTAATTTCAAAGCAAAAAGAGAACACAGAGTTTTTGCTTATCTACGAACTGTTCTGAGCAATAAAAGATCAGACTGAGAATCTGCACATTTGATGCACTTCTTTGAACAATCCCTAATCCTTACAAGAGGTAGTATACACACAGTACAATATACGGATACAAATGTTTCTTTTCGGTATACTTTATTTACAAAAGGAGACAGCTGAACACCAGCATAAATAAATCCTCTGGAGCTCAAGCAGATATTCCAAGCAAATTCATTGTGATTGATTACCAAAAGGTAGCATATAGTAAAATTAATGAAAATTACTTCTTTGATTAAAGACAGAGGGCTTGATTCTCACCGGGTATAAATAGTCATATCCCTAGTTCCATAGGGTTGCCAACCTCCTGGTGGTGACTTGACATCTCCCACTATTACAACTGATCTCCAGGTAACAGAGATCAGTTTACCTTGAGAAAATGGCCACTTTGGAAGTTGGACTTCATGGGTCTTATCTTATTTCAAATAGCTGAGAGGAAATTATCATCTATGTATGTTCCAACATAATATATCTCCAAGCCATAGCTAGATGTCCATCTTTTTAAACAAAATGCCACACAATAGTGCAATCTGCGGTTCTTTAATTATTAATCATAAGATTTACTCCTTACTACTTAATATTTACTTACTATTTACTTCTTTATTCTGATAATGTTTCACAAATAAAACTAAACAAACCCACAAACCTTTGATTTTTTTTTTTTTTAAATAAGACTCTTTGTTTTCCTTCCTGGTGCTGTCCTTCTGGTTTCAAGCTCTCTTGGGTATGATCCTGTGTCTCTTCCACACCCATATTTTCTCTCTGGCTCCAAGAGATTTGGGTATATGGAACAGCTGCAGGATCAAAACAGCAGCTGTAGTTTAATTGGATATGCATATATGCATTACAGAAGGGGGGAAACCATCTCTAGATAATGATATCATTTGCTAATTGTATAAATGGGAGGGGGCTGTTCTGGCAAAGTGTCGTTTTTGTGAAATACAGACTCAGGACATTACAACCTCCACCTGCTTTTCATTCACTCCCAAAGTGAGGGTATATACTTGCCATTCAGCATGGAGAGGATGACATCTGGTCATAATCTGGGCATTTAAGTAGAGCAGGGTAATTACTGTTCATCGGAAGGGAAGCATCACTGGAGATGTCAGAAGGACTGCGCCCGCGTACCCACGCGTCTGGGTGGAGGAACTGGCCAGAGTAGTCAGAACAGTTGCTAAGCCGTGGATGGTAGAAGCCAGGATGAGGCCTATACATCTCTTCAGCAGTGTATCTCTTCATGAACAGGTAGACAGACATGACACCTGCACTCTGAAGTGGGGGGGGGAGAGAACAAAAGCTACAATCATGTTGCTTGAAGGTACTTGAATGGCCAGCCACTGAAAGAATGGCCCAATGTAGACATCATGTAAAACAATGGTTTAATTAACTATGTTACAGTTAGTGTGATCATCTGACAGTGGTCACTGCTAACTGTTGTCCATTACGGTTACGGCTGGGGCCTGGAGGTTTCCCGGATTTTAACTGCTTTCCAGACTACAGAGATCAGTTTCCCTGGAGAAAATGGTCACTTTGGAGGGTGGACTCTATGGCATTATACTCTACTGAGGTCCCTCCCCACACCCTGCCCTCCCAAAGCTCCACTCCCAAATCTTCAGGAATTTCCCAACGCACAGTTGGCAACCTTACTCTGCAGGGAAAATAAAGGAAACCACTGTTTGTCAAAGCAAAGTAGGATTTTAATGGTTATTGGTGAATTGTGGTTTCACAACTAAATTGAAATGAACCATGGTTTCACATTATATCTCTCACTAGGGATCCAAACAGTCCAGTCAGTCAAATTACAGCTCTCTCTGGCCTTCCTCCCTTTATGCATTTATAAAATGTACTTGATGTCTCTCCAGGAAATCCACCTGAGGTGCCTTACAAAGCAAAACAAAACCCTAAAATGTAAAAAAAATATATTAAAAACTCAGCATTAAAAACCAAGCTACAGCAGAAAACAATAAAACACTGGGGCTGTGATCAGATGGCAGGCTTGGCACAGTCTGGCTGTGCCTCTAATTTCTCCAGAGCTATTTGTTCTGGAGAGGGTGTGACCAGACATGCCACCCTTGTTTCTTTTAAAAAGTCTACTTTGTGTTTGTGCAAAACTGCTTATTCGCCAGGAGCGAATATGTGGTTATGCACGTATTGCTAACTGTGGAAAAAAATGGCGGCCAGGGAGCAGAAGTCACAGACCTCACAAATGGCTTGAGCATGCAACAAAGTGATCAGATGGCAGGAAATACACTGTAGAACAATTTGACCTGTAAATACTGGACTTTCTTCGGTGTCAGCAAAGTCGGGGGTGAGGACGGGGGACCGATGACTTGGAAACAGAAGACAGATGTCACTGTCTGGATATGCACATTAAATCCATCAGGTAGAAGGGATGACATCAGACTGAACAGCCCATCTGATCGCACCCTGGGCTGCTTAAATTGAATCTGACCGTTTTCAGGCTATAACCCCTTAGTTAAAAGCCTGGGTAAAAAAGACCTGGTGCCTAAAAGAGACTAGCATAGGTACCATGCAAGCGTCAACATTCCACGGGTGAGGTACCATTATTGAAAAAGCCCTGTATCTAGTTGCTGTCTTGCCTCGCCTCTAAATGTGGGGCATAGAGAGCTACGCTTGAGAAGAAGAGCTTAGCTAGAAGACTGGACAGAATGAGAGAAAGAAAGTTTGTTAGCACCAAAACATTTAAAGCCCTAAAGATCCAGCACATAGAATTGTGCCTGAAAACAAAAGGGCAGCCAGTGCATATTTTCCAGCACCGAAGTGTCTGGAGTCAGGATGCTGTTACCCTTATGTTGGTGAGCATATGCTGTGTCTTTCAGGCTGGGATTGTGTTTTGACTGCAAGACTGTTGGGAGATTTGAAAAGGAGAAGTTTGGTAATATGAACACTTGTGAAATGCAATCTACTTCCAGTTTTAGGTTGTTGTAAGAATCATCTTGATCCAAAAAAGCTGCAGTGGTTCAGGTATGCCTAACAGGTATATCTTATGTCTAGTGAAATCAGGTAGCTCTAATCTGCTAGCCAAGAATCTTCCACCACACCACCCTCCAAATACTGGATATTGCCAAAGCACCAACAATTGAACAGATCATAGTATACTATGCAAGGGAATAGGGACTACAGGGTTCTTCCCCCTTCTTGTCCTATCAGCATTCAAATGAGTCTGAACACTACTTTTGAACAGTATTTCACTTTTAAGTAATTTACAGTGCAATCCCAAGAGTGCTTCCCTGGAAATAAGCCCCATTGAGTAGACTTCAGTAGGATTCCAAGTAGACCTGCTTAGGATTGCATTGTTAATTATGGAATTTAGTGCCAATGGATGCAGTGATGGCCATGAGCACAGATGGCATCACTAGTTACTAGCAATGATGAAGGAGCTGTTTGTTGGCCCTCCAGGGCAGCTGGTTGGCTACTGTGTGAAACAGGATGTTGGCCTTCATGTACCACTGGTTTAATATAGCAGAACACCTCTTATATGGAGCATAACTGTGCCAAAAAGGAGTTGGCAGGGACCACTGGTCCTAGTACTAGTGTTATTAATAGTACTAATGGGAACTGCTATCCCAGGATCAGTATTAGTGCTCAAGAGGAGAGGGAATCCCCCCCCCCCCACATTAGGCACCTTAACTAGCATTATACAAATCACACATTTGGCACAGTTCATAGGATCAGGGCAGAGGTTTTCAGTATTATATTTTTTGCCCTACCAGAAGGGACCTCACATCATTGTTGTGTGGTTCTACTTGCAACATCAATATCGTTAACTAGGAGTAAGGCTCGTTGTGGGAAGAAATACAATGAGCTCCAGGAGGAAGCTCCAGCTGAGTGTCCCGACTATGGCTGGTAGGGCGGCAGAGGGATGGGGGAAATAGAGGGAGACAAGCCATGTTTATTTCCTTCTGCTTAGCTATAAGGCAGGGCTGTCTCAAGTCATTTTGCTGCCCCAAGTGGGTATGGGAGGACAGCCTCATGGTAACAGCTATAGTTCCCTCCATCCCTGACTTATGTTGATTTGGGGTTATGCAGTGGCAGCTAAGGTAGAAAAGCACCTCCTCCTATGCAATGTCTTCTGGGTTCCAAGGGTCTGGAAAGTGGTTCCATAGCCAGTTACAGGGTTGCCAATTCTGAGTTGAGAAATACCTGTAGATTTGAGAGGTAGAGCCTGGGGAGGGCAGGGTTTGGGGTGCAGAGGGACCTCAGCAGGGTACAATTCCATAGAGTCCATTGCCCAAAGCAGCCATTTTCTCCAGGACAACTGATCTTGGAGATCTCTAGGTGCTGCCTGGAGGCTGGCAATAGCTGGCAATACTAAGGGGAGGGCCAGACCTGTAGATATGAGGGGTAGAGCCTGGGGAGGGCAGGGTTTGGGGTGTGGAGGGACTTCAGCAGGGTATAATATCATAGTCCACTGCCCAAAGCAGCCATTGTAATAGCTGGGAAATTTTATATGGGGGAAATGATGTACTGTGGCTGGGGAACACAGTGATTTCTGGCAGATCTCCAGGACTCACAGGGAGATTGGCAACTTCAGTGACCATTTAAGGGAAGATTGGGATATGTATTTTGGCAACTCCAGTGACCGTTTAAGGTAAATTGGGATATGTATTTTACCTCAGGACACATTCAATGACTCGCAACAACAAACTGTTTAGAATGTTAGAGGCAAAGGCCAATCAGGCCACATATGCAAATGACCTCTGTGTTCTATTGGGGGGAGAGGAACAGCAAACAGTTTAGAATATTGGAAGCGAGACTTGGGCAACGCAGCTAGTGGATAGGGACAGCTTCTGAGTGACAGATCAGGGAGCGAGCAGATTTGGGAGCGTGTGGAATGTTCAGGAGAGTCCATGACCAAAACAGAATTATTATATAGAGCATAAATGAGCAATTTGGCCAAAATCCCCAGCAAGTACAACGAGCTAGGCAATGCAGAAGTGTCCTGAATTTGGCATAGAAAGTATTCTAAAAATGTAATTGTATTGGGTTTGCCTACATAAACATTCTCTATTGAGTCCCTCATGTAGCAAAAAAATAAAATAAAAGCATAAACAAGCAAACACTCCTTGCAAGAGGACATGTAAACAATCTTTTAAATCTACCAAGTATCAGGCCTCATACCTTGGGATGCCATTATACAGCTTTCCAGTGAAAGGGGCAGTCATACTGCAAGAGTTTGCTAAAAGCTACTTTGTCACTGAAATGTAACCTTGAGAAATAATTAATTTGTAAAAAGGAAATTAAGCAACCCACCAAAACTAATCCAGTTCTTAATTAAATACATGAAGGCGAAGCAGGGGTAGAGGGAGCAGTGGCTTGTGGTTTGCACATGCTTTGTATGCAGAAGGCTCCAAATTCAATCCCCCATACTTCCCAGATAAAGACAGGGGTATTAAGAGAGGCCATTCTCAGCTCCAGACATTGGAGAGCCATTATCTGTATGGCAGGCTATACTGAATTAGGCGGGCCAGTGGTCTCAGTTGGTATATAGCAACTTTGTATATTCAAAACATTTAAGGCCGGGGCTGGGGGGGGCAGGGGGCATGCTTTGTACACAGAAGGTCCTTGGGTCAATCCTTGGCATCACCAGTTAAAGTGTGTTTGGCAGCATGTATTCCAGACATCCTGGACAGCTGCTACAAGGGGGGGGTCAGTGGTCATGCTTTGTACACAGAAGGTCCTTGGGTCAATCCTTGGCATCACCAGTTAAAGTGTGTTTGGCAGCATGTATTCCAGACATCCTGGACAGCTGCTACAAGTCAAAGGAGACAGCACTGAGCGGAGAGACTGACTCATTATTTGTATGTTCATACAAGTTCAGAAGCAGTGTGCTGCATAGCTTCAGGGGGGTTTGCAGTTCCTTGAGTTTTAATGAGATAATTAGCCCACTGGGAGGGAAGGTGACATGGCAGTGCCAAATCTCATCAGATCTCAGAAGCTAAGCAGGCTTGATACTTGGAAGGGAGACCACCAAGGAGTACTCTGCAGAGGAAAGCAATGGCAAAACACCTCTGCCATCTCACTTGTCTTGAAAGCCCTTTGCTGGGGTTGCTGTAAGTTGGCTGTGACTTAACAGCACCTTACACACAACTAGCCCACTGGCAGGACAGAACCCTCTGTTGTCCATCTACAGTCACTTACCTTTCATATGGCTGGGTCCTAAGATTTTCTGAATTACATGCTGATACTTGTAGAACCAAATGAGGGTTGAAAAGGTAACATACAATACAATAAGGGGAGTTACTCATCTGCCTTGGATGGAGTGACTCTATCACTGGTAGATGAAATGAAGAACCTGAGCATACTATTGGACCCTATTCCATTGATGGAGAAACAGATAAATGTTGTTGCCAAATGGTCTCTTAACAGCTGGGTTGCAAACTGACTCCCTGTTTTGACTCAGATAGACTAGGAACACCAATCCACACTACTGTAATCTCAGGCCTAGATTACAATAGAATGCTATTCATTGGCTACCTTAAAGACAATCCAGTTTTAGAGTGTTTGCACTGGCGGCCTGTTAGCTTCTGGGCTCAATTTAAGGTCCTGGTTTTAAGCTTTAAATACCTGTGTTGCCTGAACCCATCCTATAGGAAGGGCTCCCTCTCCCCATACAAGCCTACCTGTCAACTGTGTGAACTACATCTACTCATTTCCCATCTCTTTCTACCTTCCCACAGGAAAGTGACAACTGTCATGGCCTGTTCCAAGGTATTTGTTGCTGAGCTCTGGAACAGAGTTCCAGTGAAAGTCCAAACAGTATCTTCTTTTCCCATTTGCCACAACTGTTATAAAGTGAACTGTTTTAAAATTGCTTTTAATTTAACTTAATTCAGTTGGCTGTGTTTGTAGTTTGCAAGTCTATTGATTTTCGACTGTTGGGTTTTTATGGATAAAGTATGAAGTGGTCTCTCTTATGATAAGTTGGATAGTTGTTTTTGTAAATGGCATTGAGTTCACCACACTGAGGAAAACTAGTACTGAGGCATTTTAATAAAAATAAATACTTGAACCAGGTACCATGTTAGGCTCATAGAGAAGGAAATGGCAACCCACACCAGTATCTTTGCCAAGAAAACCCCATGGACAGTATCAAATGGCTAAAAGATATGATGCCAGAAGATGAGCCCCTCAGGTTGGAAGGTGTCCAATATGCTACTGGGGAAGAGCAGAGGGCAAGTACAAATAACCCCAGAAAGAGTAAAGCGGCTGGGCCAAGGCCGAAAGGACGCACAGTTGTGGATGTGTCTGATGGTGAAAGGAAAGTCCGATGCTTCAAAGAACAATACTGCATAGGAACCTGGAATGTAAGATCTATGAATCAAGGTAAGCTTGACGTGATCAAAAATGAGATGGCAAGACTGAACATCGACATCTTGGGAATCAGTGAACTAAAGTGGACAGGAATGGGCGAATTTAACTCAGAAGACCATTATATCTACTACTGTGGCCAGGAATCTCGTAGAAAAAATGGTGCGGCCTTTATAGTCAACAAGAGAGTGCAAAAGTCAGTACTGGGATACAATCTCAAAAATGACAGAATGATTTCAGTCCGATTCCAAGGCAAACCATTCAGCATCACAGTAATCCAAGTCTATGCCCCAACCACTGATGCAGAAGAGGCTGAAGTGGACCGGTTCCATGAAGACCTACAACACCTCCTAGAACTAACACCAAAAAATGATGTCCTCATCATCATAGGGGACTGGAATGCTAAAGTAGGAAGTCAAAAGGTAACTGGAATAACAGACAAGTTTGGCCTTGGAAAGCAAAATGAAGCAGGGCAAAGGTTAACAGAGTTTTGTCAAGAGAACACACTGGTCATAGCGAACACCCTTTTCCAACAACCTAAGAGGCGACTCTACACATGGACATCACCAGATGGGCAACACCGAAATCAGATTGACTATATAATTTGCAGTCAAAGATGGAGAAGCTCTATCCAGTCAGTAAAAACAAGACCTGGAGCTGACTGTGGTTCAGATCATGAGCTACTCATTGCAAAATTCAGACTTAAACTGAAGAAAATTGGGAAAACCACGAGGCCATTCAGGTTTGACCTAGATCGCATCCCTGATGAATATACAGTAGAGGTGAAGAATAGATTCAAGGGTCTGGATTTGATAGATAGAGTGCCTGAAGAACTATGGACGGAGGTTCGTGACATTGTACAGGAGGCAGCAATCACCACCATCCCAAAGAAAAAGAAATGCAAGAAAGCAAAGTGGCTTTCTGATGAGGCTTTACAAATAGCAGAGGAAAGAAGGAAAGCGAAAGGCAAAGGCGAAAAGGAAAGATTTACCCAACTGAATGCAGATTTCCAGAGAACAGCAAGGAGAGATAAGGAGGCCTTCCTGAATGAACAGTGCAAAGTAATAGAAGAAAACAATAGAATGGGAAGGACTAGAGATCTCTTCAAGAAAATTGGAGAAATCAAGGGAGCGTTCCATGCAAAGCTGGCCATGATAAAGGACAAAAACGGTAGGGACCTAACAGAAGCAGAAGAGATTAGGAAAAGATGGCAAGAATACACAGAAGAACTATACAAGAAAGACCTCGATGTCCTTGACAACCACGACGGTATAATCACTGACCTCGAGCCAGACATCCTGGAATGTGAAGTTAAATGGGCCTTAGAAAGCATTACTAACAACAAAGCTAGTGGAGGTGATGGTATCCCAGCTGAGCTATTCAAAGTCTTAGAAGATGATGCTGTTAAAGTTCTGCACTCCATTTGCCAGCAAATTTGGAAAACGCAACAGTGGCCACAGGATTGGAAAAGATCAGTATACATTCCAATCCCAAAGAAGGGCAATGCCAAGGAATGTTCAAACTATCGCACAATTGCACTCATATCACACGCTAGCAAGGTCATGCTCAAGATCCTACAAGCTAGGCTTCAACAGTACGTGGATAGAGAACTACCAGAAGTACAAGCTGGGTTTCGAAGAGGTAGAGGAACGAGAGATCATATTGCCAACATTCGCTGGATTATGGAGAAAGCAAGAGAGTACCAGAAAAATATCTACTTCTGCTTCATTGACTATGCTAAAGCCTTTGACTGTGTGGATCACAACAAACTATGGCAGGTCCTTAAAGAGATGGGAGTACCAGACCACCTCACATGTCTCTTGAGAAACCTGTATAAGGGCCAAGAAGCGACAGTTAGAACCGGATACGGAACAACTGATTGGTTCAGCATAGGAAAAGGAGTACGACAAGGATGTATACTGTCACCTTGCTTATTTAATATATATGCAGAGTACATCATGCGAAATGCTGGCCTGGATGAATCACAAGCGGGAATTAAGATTGCTGGGGAAAAGATCAACAACCTCAGATATGCAGATGATACCACTCTAATGGCTGAAAGTGAAAAGGATCTAAAGAGCCTCTTGCTCAGAGTAAAAGAGGAGAGCGCAAAAGTGGGCTTGAAGCTCAACATCAAAAAAACTAAGATCATGGCATCCGGCCCCATCACTCCTTGGCAAATAGAAGGGGAAGCTGTGGAAGTAGTGACAGACTTCACGTTCCTGGGATCCCAGATCACCGCAGACTGTGACTGCAGCCATGAAATTAAAAGACGCCTGCTCCTTGGGAGGAAAGCGATGGCGAACCTAAACAGCATGATAAAAAGTAGAGACATCACCCTGCCAACAAAAGTCCGCATGGTCAAAGCAATGGTATTCCCAGTAGTCATGTATGGCTGTGAGAGTTGGACTATAAGGAAGGCCGAGCGCCGAAGAATAGATTCTTTTGAACTATGGTGCTGGAGAAGACTCTTGAGAGTCCCTTGGACTGCAAGAAGAACAAATCAGTCAATCCTCAAAGAAATCAACCCTGACTGTTCCCTGGAAGGCCAGATAATGAAACTGAAGCTCAAATACTTTGGCCACCAAATGAGAAGGGAGCACTCACTGGAGAAGACCCTGATGCTGGGAAAGATTGAAGGTCAAAGAAGACGGGGACGGCAAAGGATGAGATGGTTAGACAGTGTCATCGATGCAACGAACATGGAATTGAGCCAACTTCAGAGGACGGCGGAAGACAGGAGGGCCTGCCGTGATCTGGTCAATGGGGTCGTGAAGAGTGGGACTCGACTGTGTGACTGAACAACAGCAAAGCTTCCTAATGTTCTGAGTCTACAGGCATTTCTCATAGCCATTTTAAGTGAGCTCACAACCGAGGCCTACCTCTGTCAGGAGAAAAGAGATAGCCGAAAAAGCAAATGACCATCCATATTTGTAAGTGAAGTACGTCTCAGAGTCTTTAGTTCTATTGAGAATTTCATCGTTGATGCTGGAGATGTAGAGTACAAGCCCCACAACTAGAGATAAACCTGGAGAAGCAAGAACACAAAATGAATAAGCGTACTTTTATACAGACCAGTTTGATGCAACCCCCTCAGCTTTCTGAATATCCCGTACTGCATATGCAGCCGAGGGGCGCAGCAGAATTCTGAGAATTAAAATAGGCTGTAGAGCCAATGTGGTGTAGCAGTTCGAGCACCAGAAAGGATCTGGGAGACCAAGATTCAAATCCCCTTGGACTAGTCACACTAGTCACACACACTGTCTGATTTAAAGGAAGGATGTCTGAAGCAGCACAGGCAGGGCTTTTTTTGTAGAAAAAGCCCAGCAGGAACTTATTAGCATAATAGGCCACACCCAACAGCAGAAACTCATTTTAGAATATTGGGCCACACCCCTGACAGCACCACTCATTAGCATATTAGGTCGCACCCACATGTTACCAGAAGTGTGGTCATCCAGCCACACCAACCTTTTGCTTCTTATTCTGTTTACCTTGTTTGTTGTCAAAACCCAGAGCTTTTTTTTGTAGCAGGAACTTCTTTGCATGTTAGGCCACACGCCCCTAATGTAGCCAATCCTAATGAGTTTCTGCTGTTGGGTGTGGCCTATTATGCTAATGAGTTCCTGCTCGGCGTCGTCAACTCAGGAGCCAGCCGGAACTCTGTTCCTGTGCGTTCCTGCCCAAAAATAGCCCTGAGCACAGGGTTGATACAACCTGTTTTACAGGAGACTGCATCTAACTACATATATTACTATCTGTGTGGAAAGCACTTTTAAGACCAGCCCATAGGGATTCAAGTCAGGAGAGAGTGAGGAAATATAAACCATTCAGACAAAATCCCATTCTGTCTTGTCAATATCTGCTTTATTTGCTGCTCTGAAGCTTTGAGATGAGTCAGGCTCAAATCAGTAAACAAACAAAGCAACTCTCCCAGCAATACATATGGATGAGTAACATGCACATACCCCATGGTGCAGAGGTTAGAGTATCAGACTGGGAGACATGGATTAGCATCCCTATTCTGCCATGGAAACTCACTGGATGATTTTAGGCCCGCCACACACTCTTAGCATAACCACTGTCACAAGGCTGTTGTGAACATATAATTGGAGGGACAATGTTGTAAGCTGCTTTGGGTCCCCATTTGAAGGAAAGGTTGGGCACACACTTCTAAATAAACAAATTCTTTGCCAAAATGTACTTTTTGTTACATTCAGAGACATACAGTAATTTCTAATAGCAGCTCTTATGGACATTATTCCTTTGGACATACACTTACATTGTGCATACTGGGTGTCAGGACTGGGTCTGATGAGTCCTCCTCATCCTCCTCATCAGACCTGATCCAACCCTGACCCTTGGGAGTACCACATACAAAAATGCATGAACATTTACTTTGAATTCATTGCCAAGAATCTAACATACCTGATATTTATCATTTTTTATTATTTCAGGTAAAGAGAGCTGACTGTGGAACATTTCGAACTTTTAATTCTGAGGCTAATGCAAAACCAGGGCACTGTATCTCACTGGATGGTCTCAATACAGAACAAAGTAAAAATCTATTACCCACTAGCTTTTTAAATTATTGTAAATGTCTGAGGGGAGTTTTGTGGCTCCCAGATACACATTGATCCCCTTTCTGCTCATTACTAATGCACACAAGGAGATGCTGCTTCTGCCTCCCTGCCAAACGGGTGCCATTTTAGCACCTTCAGATTGCCCCAGGGAGCCACTATTGGCTCTGCTGCAAAATATAATTTGTGCAATACAGCCAGTGGTGCCTGCCTTGGATAAGTTCAGGATGACTCCACCTACAAATATAAGACTTTTGTAAAGTATAGCAAGGTCCTGAAATGCCATTATCTTTCTTATGTGTGAATATGAGAGGCCAGAATTTAAATAAGAACGAATATAACTCAACGATGCTACCATTTTGAAACTTACCAGACAGAATGAAAAAGATTCCAGACACAAAAGCCAGAATGGTTCTATGGGGACGAATGTGCCCAATATTGCTCAGAATGAATCCAATAAACATAAAGAAGAGACTGACTAATGGGAAAGGGGTGGCAGAACGAATCATCTCTGTAAAAGGTAATCAAGAAAGACAGAATGAAAAAGTTAAATAATATAACATCATGAATACGAAAATATTTTCTGTTCTCATAATTCATATACCTTTTTAGTCTTGCTTTTAAAATTTTAATTTAGCATGCTCTCTCTGTCTCCCTTTCTCACGCACAAAGAAGCACATATACATGCAGAGTGAGCTTGCTTGTACACTGAGTCAATCGAAGCTATGTGTGGATTTCTAATTCTGTGGCTTGGATAAAATAATAGAATCATAGAGTTAGAAGGAGCCATACAGGTCATCTAGTCCAACCTCCTGCTTAATGTAGGATCTGCCTAAAGCATCCCTTACAAGTGTTCATCTAGCTGCTGCTTGAAGACTGCCAGTGAGAGAGAGCTCACCACCTCCCTAGGCAGTCAGTTCCACTCCTGAACTACTCTTATGGTAATTTTTTCCCCTTAATATCCATCGGGTACGTTTATGCCCTAAGTCCCCCAGGCTTTCCTCATAGGGCTTGGTCTCTAGGCTCCCAATCATCCTCAGGTACTCTCTTCTACACCTGCTCCATTCGGCCCACATCCTTTTTGAAGTGAGGCCTCCAGAACTGCACACAGTACTACAGGCGTGGCCTGACCAATGCAATGTACAGCAGGACTGTGACATCTTGTGGTTTGGATGTTATGCCTCTACTGATACACCCCATTAGCCTTTTTTGCTGCTGTATCACACTGACTGCTCATATTTAGTCCACCAGTACTCCAAGATCTTGTTCACACACACTACCACCCAGAAGTGTATCCCCCATCAATTATGCATGGTTCTCATGGTGGTTACCCAGATGTTGAACTCTGTGCTTATCCTTGTTGAATTGCATCTTGTTCATATCTGCCCCTTTTCCAGTGTGTTATGACTAGGGCCGCCAAGCCGCGGTGGGGGATCCGTGCGTCTTCACAGGATCCCTGCCGAGGGGGACAGCAATACGCGTTGCACCGCCGCCGCCAGGATATGATGCTACACGTCGCTCTGGCAACGGGGCTGTTCGGAGTCCCGTTGCCAAAGCGACGCATAGCAAGGAGGCCGCCCGTCGCCGGCACCCTGGGGCCACTGCGCTTTGGAGCGAGCCCCAGGGAGCAAAAACGAGGCCCATCGTCGTCGCTGCTGGCTCCCTGGGGCTCGCGCCGGAGCGCAGCGGCCCCAGGGAGCAAGGAGGAGGCCCGTCACCGGCTCCCTGGGGCTGCTGCGCTTCGGCGCAAGCCCCAAGAAGCAAAGAGGAGGCTCATCGTCGCCGCCGCCTTCCTGGGGCTCACGCCGGAGTGCAGCGGCCCTGGGAGCGAAGAGGAGGCCTGTTGCCGCCTCCCTGGGGCCGCTGCGCTTTGGCACGAGCCCCAGGGAGTGAAGAGGAGGCCCATTGTCGCCACCGGCTCCTTGGGGCTCGCGCCGGAGCGCAGTGGCCCCAGGGAGCGAAGAGGAGGCCTGTAGCCGCCTCCCTGGGGCCGCTGTGCTTCGGCGCGAGCCCCACGGAGCAAAGAGGAGACCCATTGTCGTCGCTGCCTTCATGGGGCTCGCGCCGGAGCGCAGCGGCCCCA